CCCCCGAAAAATAAAATCAATGTCGATAGCAATGGCAATGGTTATGATGATAATCGATGCATATTATGTGACGCTTTAATTATAACGAATTGAACATGGGCTTTTCTTCCTAAGATAATACAACAGACAGGGATCTTAAAGCAAAGTGAACACGCCCGGTAATTTTTTGTTGATGCTGCCATCTATCTAAGCTCATGTGCCAACAACAGTGCAACAAGTTAGGATCATCGAAATCTTTGTTTGAGTTCGTTGGTTAGGATGCGTCGTTTGTGACCGGTGTTGCGCGAATACGTCATGTATGTGTTCTTTTTACGGAAAATATCAATTTTTCATACATAAAAGTCGATAATTATCAATTATATTATCTGCTAAAATACTGTGTTCATGCTGAATTATCACGAAAGCCCTATTAATGATGGATGGGCTTAACTTTAACTTTATACATCGTAGCACCGCTAGTAATCATTGGCCCACGTGAAATAATGCATGTCTGTAAAATTTCACTTGTCGGGGGCAAAGTGGATGGGGCATAATGGAATGTGTTACAGTATGATTCACCGGGGCAAAGTGGATTGTTAATATTTTTGTCAAGTTCGTAGCATTCAATAAAGCTGATTATTTGAGAAACATTGCTAGTGCCATTTGTTAGTGGTAGTCCTAAGGTAAACGTATAAACCAAATATATTTCTTTACTTTGCTTTGTAATCCTGTTCTGGTTGTTCCAATTTTTGTGTCCACTTTGCCCCGGGCTCCCCTACTGGTTAAAACTATGGGCCTCGGTGACTCCAATAGTAATATTGAAGTCACCTCTTGCGCATAGTTTTAACCAGAACCTCTCAAGACAGTGTATATTTGTATATTAATTTACGTAATGCATTATTTTTATTATTAATATTATTAGTTGTATATTATCAGTATTATCATCATGGGCGTAAATCTGCAATTGATACCTATTGTTCAGGGGGGGGGGGTGATCTATTCATTCACCCCCACCCCCTGAACAATAGGTATTACGTAAGGATTTACGCCCATGATTATCATTATTATCATTGTTACGCCATCATCGTCATCACTGTCACCATCAGTATATTGGATTGATGTGAACACTTTTCACTTTCTGTACGCATTCTTGCGCTTCGTTTCTCCTCTGTTATGTGATGCTAGCGAATTGAACATGTGCTTTTCTTCCTATGAGAATATAAAAGACAGGGATCTTATAGCCTAGGACATCAAATTAGAGTGAGGGAAGCGATCGAGCGCTCATCTGCTTCCAATACGAATTTACTGGTTCACATCTATAATAGCATAATCAAGCTGTTTCATGGTGACATGAAGAATCATTTTATACCTGTGACCTCACCATGCAGTCTGTTTAAGTTACCTCTATAATAATGACGAAAATCGGGATTTCAACGCGATCGCTCTGTCTATTCCCATCGGTATTGTTTAATCTGAATTCTACCAAAAGACATGAATGCAGATAATAGAAATTAGGGGGAATTTGTTAGACTATATTATTACTCCCTTACTACAAAACGGCACGAAACGAGACTGCTAAAGATTTACTTAGACCTTTCAGAATATTGATGATGGATATATGATATATTCTAGCTGTATGTTTTGGTCTGTAAATTAACAATTCCTGCACTTGGGCAGTGTATATTTCATGACAATAACAAAAACAAATGGACATTTTCCGGATTCAGTAAGTGTTACTTGTCAGCTATTCACGGTGAACATAATTATACTAGGTTCCTCATCATCATATCAGGGCATTTGATACAATTTGCATAACTACATTTTGCAGAAAATACACGTTTTGGGGCTAACTTTAGTCATGGACACCACTATACTATTCTATAACGTACAGGTTTCCTTTGATTGGGGGGGGGGGCATGTTGAAGATATCTTTTTCTTTCTTCTTCTAATACATGTAACCTAGTCTATACAACCAAAAATATAAACATATATAATTCCAGTCAATTCGATCGAGTAACAGTTGCAACAAGTCCACCATATTTGTACAGTACACTAACCAGTTTTTTTTATACTCGCGACATTAAAAATACCAAACCGTTGATGTTCCGTACGGTATAAACTTACCGTTCCATACATCGATTCCAGCAAAGAAATTAATTACATTGCGATTTATCCATGAAACAAATCAACCATATTCCCTATTCGGATTTAGTGCCGGGTGAAGAAAAGATTAGGTGGAGCAACCGCGTCTTAATTTACGCAAAAGATTTTTTATTAAAAATTATGTTAAAAAGGGAAAAAAAAACTTACCAATTCCTGACGACGCAAGGTGATTCTTAATTGTTGAAGAGAGGAGTCATTTTGATACAAAAGGAAAAAATATCTCCAGAATGACAACTTAATAAAACAATGAGTGATTAGGAGAGGAAATGAACAGGTCGGAAAGCACAAAAACTTATTCAGGTCCACCGTGTTTGCATATTTTAATAATTATTATACTGGTGGGAAAATGCTGGTGGGGAATTCCAACTTCCATAAATAAACCTTTACTCACCAAACATTTAGGTAGTCGTGTTTCGAGTCGTTTATTGTCAAGGAAAATGTCATGTAGTATATTATTTCTATTTTTACTGCATTCCAAATTCTATACAAGGTAGAGGACAACAAAATTAGGCTTATTTCTTGGTTAATATTTGTTAATCCATATTGTTGTAAGTAAATCATGTTTTTATCGTGAATTAAGAACAGAGGCACGGACACAACTGATTTGCACCAGGGGTCAAAGTCTACGTATTGATGCAAAATCCGATAAAATGAGTCAGCCCGCTGCACGCTCGCTAATGAGCATATCGTGCGAGCGTTATCGTGCGATGGAAACAGCTCGATGAATAATATCCACAAACGAGAAGTTACGAGATCGTGCGAGAATACTGGAAGGGATGACGTAGACTCTATTTTCTCGCACATGCTCAGTTTTTGAGCAGCTATGTTTGGGTAAGTCCATCTCCAGAAAATTTCCTTTCGATCGAATAATATGAAATGTTGATATATTTCCGCGAAATTTACGGTTTTACAGCATCATGCAATGAAGCCTAATTTTGAGAAGTTTTCGTTCCTAGTTTTGTAACTAAAATTTGTTTTCGTGAACCTGACCCGTTCGAAACTAGAAAAAGATCATTTGATGTCGATATGTGTTCAGCAATGTCTGAAATTGCCAAATCTGTTGTCCAATTTGAGGTTCCTCAACAGGAAATTAGTGAATTCTGCTTCCCAAATTCTCATGAAAATCTTGTTTTCACCGGAAATACGTACTCGAAGTTGGGTGAACTGGCGCGAAATGGTCTAAAAATAGTAAAACGCGCGAATGGGCGTAGTGCATACCGATCGTATAGTGTTGTCCCACATATAGATTTTCATGGAGTCTTCAGTGCAATTGTTGGCTGAAAGACCGAAACTATTTCATTTTCTGTTGAATTTCAGTTTCCTCATGTGTTCAGGCATCAAATGGGACTGGGATTCTAAGTAATAACGTTTTTAGATTGAATTCCAAATAGGATTTGATCTAGACTTCTATTAAAAGTCAAGATGAGTCAATGCTATTGCGTATTGACCAGTAGCACTGCACTGCATAGGTAGGATTGGAATAGATCTACATGAAAAGTCGATACACTCGTAACACACAGAGATGCACACAATTATGCCGATGCGGCTGATCGGAAGTTTGACAGTGGACTCACAATTTGAATTTTTAAATAATTCTTTCTAACATCGGAAAGTTGAAAAAATTGTATTTTAATGCTATGTACGTGCCATCAATCATCACTAAAGTACCGATTTTGAGTAAAATCAGTTGAGTGTTGTACAGTGGTGTTTGAAATGTTGAGAATCAATAGCACAGCTTTTAATATACAGCCAGGATAGTAATGCACATATATGTGTGGTCTAGACTCTAGTCGGTCTAGACTTACATGGCTGCATTAGCCATTACGACCTTGGCTGTGTATTAAAGGGAAAGTCCACCCCCAAAATAAGTTTGTTTCGATAGAGGCAGAATAATAAGAAAATCAGGTGAGTGAAAGTTTGAGCAAATTCTGAATGAAAATAAGAAAGTTATGAATTATTGAAGTTGTGATCAATCAAATACAAATTGGCAACTCTGTGACTTATTATACGAGCTCTCCTTCATTTGCTTTGTGCATAATATTCCATAAAATCATGTTTTCTTCGTTATTGATGACGGAATATATATTTGTTCCTTGCAGGGGGAGTATAGAAACATATTTGCAATTATTATATTTAGGGTGCATGTATGGTTGAAATTTTTCTTGAGGGAAAATGAAAATTTTAGATTTTTTTAGTACTGAGCAAATGGAAGTTGAGCTCGCATGATACGTCATAGAGTTGCCAATTTGTGTTTGATTGATCACAACTTCAATAATTCATAACTTTCTTATTTTCATTCAGAATTTGCTCAAACTTTCACTCACCTGATTTTCTTATTATTCTGCCTCTATCGAAACAAACTTATTTATGGGGTGGACTTTCCCTTTAAAAGCTGTTCTTTTGAATCTCAACATTTCAAACACCACTGTACAAAACTCAACCGATTTCACTTAAAATCGGTACTTTAGTGACAATTGATGACACCTAAATAGCAATAAAAAAAAAAAATTCAATTCACCGATGTTAGAAAGAATAATTAAAAAATTCAAATCGCATGTCTACTGTCAAACTTGCCAGTCAGCCACATCGTATTCATTGTGTGCATTTGTGTATATTGACTTTTACACAGACACATATTTCCCTAGATAAAAGTTAATGATAATCTGATTTGTGAAATGGGATTCCATGTTTTGCCCAGGGGTAGAGAACTAGTTCTTGCTAGCTTTTTTATTTGTTGAGGAAATCACTCTTGAACGTTTGATTTATTTCTTGTGTTCATTCTGTAATTGTTTTGTTTTTGTTTTTTGATTCCAGGCGCAGAGATGTACACAGGCCCTCATAGAAGTTGTGACCCCTAGCCCTCTTCCAATTGACCACCCCCCCCCCCTGATCTTGACCTCAAGGATGCATCCTAGAAACAAGGTAAGTTGTGATTTAATTTATTCTATTCACATGGGAATTTGTTTCCCTAAATAGCAGTCAGTGAAACTATAAAAAAATACATTTACATGTATGTTCTCCCATAGAATACAGTAGTGATTTCTTACATGATAAGGAAATCTTGATGCATAACTGTTTAATGTCATGTAGATTACTTTGTATATTCAAACAACCTGCGTTGTTCATTCACTGTCTAATGTTGATAATTTTGTTCCAGGTGCGGAGCTGTACACAGTCCTTCCTACAACTTGTAGAAGATCCCGCACAGGCTTCACAACCAGTCATGTGACCCCTAGCCCTCTTCCAACTGATCGCCCCCTTGATCTTGACCTCAAGATGCAACCTGGAAACAAAGTAAGTTGTGATTTCATTTATTGCATTTACATGGAAATTTGTATCCCTAAAGAGCAGTCAGTGAAATTTCTGATGGGTGAAAAAAGTTCATTTATGTTCTCCCATAGGATAATATAGTAATTGCTCTCATTTCCTCTTCTAATACATGATTAGGAAATCTTGATGCATAAATGTTTAATGTCATGTAGATTGCTTTGTATATTAAAACAACCTGCGTTGTTCATTCACTGTCTAATGTTGATAATTTTGTTCCAGGTGCGGAGCTGTACACAGTCCTTCCTACAACTTGTAAAAGATCTCCCATAGGCTTCACAACCAGTCATGTGACCCCTAGCCCTCTTCCAACTGATCGCCCCCTTGATCTTGACCTCAAGATGCAACTGGAAACAAAGTAAGTTGTGATTTCATTTATTTTATGTACATGGAAATTATAAAGTGCTTTCTCAAAGTAAATTCAAATTAAACTCATTTTGAATCACATTTTATTGTTTATTCTCGGAAAAAAACAAGATCCTGTTGCATTAAAGTTACCATTTATTCAGTAATTATCTCCTCAATGAATGCTAACCACCATGGTAACATTATGGACTTCACGATAGCATGTTGTTTTGTGAATGTTGACAAGACATGGGCGGAGCGAGGGACTGCACAACGGCTCAGCTGTCGACTTCCCTAGAGGGCAACATGGATTTCCCCAAATGGTGTCATTCTCGAGGGTAGTAGATGGCTGAGCTGTTTTCATGCATCGCAGCATCTCACTCCACCTGAGTGACATTATTAAATAGAAATCTTCTTCCCAAGAACGAATAAGTGAATTCATAAAATAAAAATCTTCATTTTGTTTCCATTACTGGTATATAAACAGTGTTCCTAGGTTGTAATCTAACCAAAGCATTGTGAAAATACAGGAAAATTATTTTTATTTGAACTAATATTATTAATCTTGCTCCTTAACTTATGAATGTCAACCGTTTGTCAAGTAAACTTTTGAAGTTGCAAGATGATCAATTAACGTTTTAATGATTATATTAAGTCAGTTTTTCTTTGACTCTTATCTTATTTTCAGATTAAGCATTGTGATTTTATCACCATGAGGGATGAAGTAGAAAATTCAGCCTGTACATCACATCAATCGTTCTTGCTGCTGGGGTGAAGGATAAGTTGGCTCCTTGGCCCCATTTATGTACTATGAAATATAATGCCCTTGTAGCTATCATTACGGAACGTAATACCGATATCTAAATGACAGACTGTATTTGTAGTGGTTGCAGAAAAAAATATGTTAGAAAATTGAAAAACCCAAAAGACACGTAAAAAAGAAAGAATTATTTTATTTCTGTTCCATTATGACCGTTGTGTTGATAAATTATTAAGAGATTGTGAATGTGAATTAGAATAATTCAATGCTGCATTTTCTGAAGAATGCACTTCACTTCCACCTACTATACCTTTATACATGAAACATAGATTTGAATTGGCACATTTTGAGCAATCTAGAAGTTATCGTTCCTGTTCTGTTTGTGAAGCATTACTGACTTCTGATGACAAAACATATACCTGTAAAGATATTCCTGAAAGTGAATTGAAAAGATTGTGTGATATAAATGAAGACTTTTCAGGAACACAAGGTCACCATATATGTAGACCATGCTACATGTATTGTATAAAGAAAAGTAGTGCTAATAAAATGTCACTTAGAAGTATGGAAAATTCGCATCAGAGCCGTGTGCTTGCATCAGATTCGGACGAAGACTTTTTACTCAAAATTCTAAATGTTTTATGTAGACTGTGTCTTGAGGATGGTTATTTTTTTTTATTCATAACTGTTTATGAATATTTTTCTGATCTTGTCTCAAAAAGATGTTGTGATGCGCTACAGTATGACCGTGTAAATAAAAGTCCATTATTTGTAAAGGATAAGATTATACACCAGTTCGGTGAGCTTTATATTGTACATAGAGATGCTGGTAGGAGGGGAACATCTTTTTACAGTGCAGAGATGTCTCATAATTATGTTATACGTTCATGGCATATTTCAGTTTCTAAATTGAGATCATTACAAATTGACAAGAATAGTGCCCAAGATGTGCCCGATAGACCATCCTTTTCCTCACAGTTTAGTTCACCTTCAGAGGTGAACATGCAGTTCCGAAATGTTGTCAATAACGGAAATGAATTTCTCTGTAAACACAGGAAGCTGTAATTAATGGAGATCCCGTCCAAGAGGTCCCTTTGAAGTCATCCGTGGCACCGCGCGTCTTTTGTTCCCCTACCGTAATCCCCTTAATCCCCCTCCGAAACCGTACAGCTCCCTTGTAGCACTAAGTCCTCCCTTTCCACACACAGCCCAGCCCAGCGAGCACGGCGGCTTTTGCTTTACCGGCCCGTACTTGGGGTGAATAGTGGTGATAACTTGACAACTTCTAGCACTAAATCAATAAATGCGCAAACATATAACACAATTTCATTTAGTTCATTAGAAAGATAAACCTTTGGACTACCTTCCTAGCTATGTAAAAATTTCGGAAATTTTCGGGAAATGTCAATAATTAGATGAGAAAATCATGATGATGAAAACCTTTCATTCGCTCTAACTCATGATTTCCTTGGTCGATTTCGCTGGTTGAAATGGCCATGTCTTCAGTAGAGCTATCCGAGAACGGAAAAGGCATTTGATGACTTATAAAAAGCTGCATTGGTCATTATGTTGTGAATTCTGTATTTTATATGTTATAGCTTAATACATCTTCACTAAACATGACTTAATTTGTCGGTGCCACGCATGGCTTTAAAGCTCGATGCTTGCATATTTTTGCAAAAGAGTGAATAGAGAACTTAGGGAAGCAGATGGCGTTGCGTAATATTTCGTACTATTTGGAATGCCAGAGAGGGACTGTGCATTGATATGGACAGCTGTGGATGGAAATGATGGCTGGAGAGGGTTACATTTCTATTTGTTAAGCCAGGTTAATCTTGAATATTTTATCCTCGGAAAATTCTTTTGAGACGGTATCTCCATTCATTACAGCTTCCTGGTAAACAGGTGAAACACTTTAGTTGGAATATTTAACTAATCCTTTCCCAGGTCGAAAATCCCATAGAGACCAATAGAGACCATTAGAAAAATTCTATTGGTCTCTAATGGTTTCTGTTGGAGTCTATTGGTTTCTGTTGGACCCATAGAATTGAATCCAATAGAGACCATTCAAACCATCAGAAACCAATAGAAACCAATAGCACCCATAGAAACCAATAGAAATAGAAACCAATATGACCAATAGAAACCAATAGGACCAATAGAAACCAATAAGACCAATAGAAACCAATAGGACCAATAGAAACCAATAGGACCAATATAAACCAATAAGACCAATAGAAACCAATAGAACCGATAGGACCAATAGGACCAATAGGACTAATAGGACCAATAGAAACCAATAGGACCAATTTAAACCAATAAGACCCATAGAAACCAATAGAACCGATAGGACCAATAGGACCAATAGAAACCAATAGGTCCAATAGAAACCAATAGAAACCAATAGCTACATCTATCTTATGCATATTCATGATTACTTTATACGTGTTCACAGAAAATTAAATTTATCATAATTTGTTAAGCAACTTATGACAATGTACATCAATTTTGTGATTTTTATTTTCTTTTGGCAACTAATGACCAATAGATTATTTGTTTAATCATGTTACAATTTCATTCACGTTTTAGCAATAGATATATTGACTATAATGATTACTATAAAATACTAACCAAGAAACAATTCATGTATGTTTATTATATAGAATAGTACAAGCATTCTGTTAAAATAAAGGATATTCTTAAACTCACTTCAAGTGATCTATGTGATGGAGTTAATGCAATTGAGATTAGAATATACTCTTTTTTGGTGGACAGTTGCTAAAATCGATTTTGATTGATCATTATTGATTTACCAATAGAAGCCATTGGACTATTGGTTTCAATAGGGAATTCAGAATATGGGACCATTAGAAACCCATAGAAAAATCTCTAGTAGACCAACAGGAACCCATAGACAATATCTAATGGACCAACAGAAACCCATCATAGAAGAACATATCTAATGGACCAACAGAAACCCATAGAAGACATGGGTGGATGCTGGTCCAATAGAAGCTTTCTGTTGGTCCATCAGCATTTTTTCTGTGGGTTTGTGTTGGTCCAATAGATATTTTCTAATGGTTTCTGTGGGTCCATCATTTCACTTTCCCTATTGAAACCATTAGACACCAATAGCTCTAATGGTTTCTGATGGTCCAATAGGATCGGATCCTAATGGAATTTCGACCTGGGTTATCTGTCACTGATTTTAACTTTGACAATGTATGTTGCTACTACCGGTAGTGATCATGTTCACCTTGCAGCCTGTGTTCTTTCAGCATTTCTTTCTTTTGCTAAATAGAAAACCACTTACCATTATGTATTCATCACATGTATGAATGCAAACCAGTGTTATGCACAATACTCTTTATCTGATTTAATGCTCCATTTTGTTTGTATTACATATTATATTCTTTTTTGTTATAATAGTTTATGTTGCACACTTACCGTATTCCTTGTACAGTCTTCTAATATATATTATGGCAGAATGTAGCATGTACATACATGAGCAACTTAAGTTATTTGTGTTATAACATTATTCATTGTAACTTAGGATTTTTGTATTTTCCGTGCTTTAGTGCCTTAAACTAGCCAGTACTGTGTGTGTGTCCCAGCTGGACTAGCTTATGAATAATAATATCTGCCAAAACATGTATTTTTTTAACCTTGCCAAGTTGTCTCTTGTATTCAAAGAGAAGTAAAAAAATAAAAACAATTGTTCAAAAGAAACATCCCGTTTGTGTATATGCGTGAACTGTATGACTGATCAGAGGATTGTGTTTCTTTATTGAAGGCGCTACTTTGTTAACGGGAATGTCAACTTCAACCCTTTGCAGGACCAAATTCATGAGTGACTTCAGTTCGCCTTGTAAACAGAATGACTTGAATATTGCTTTGCCCTCTGAATTTCAAAGGTTTGAAGGGAAAATTGCCCCCGTGTATTTTTAACTTATTTATTTGTGTGTAGTGTCAATCACTGCATTGGACACCGACATGTTCACATATCATTTCTTGGTAAGAAAAACAACAACAATTAAGCAGAGAGATATTGGACTTTACATTCCTGGCGTACCGGTATAGTCTATAGTATAAAGTGCAATATTATGTTTTGCAACTTTGTACTAGCAACTGTGAACTACACCATACCACTAATAACCGTGAATAATAATGGTATTTTTATTTATTTTTTCTTCAGGTGATAAATTCCATGACAATTGCATTTTGCTCAAAATCGCCTACCCACACAGCTCGCTGATTCAGACATCGGTGAAGTCGTGTAATTTTGTTACACAAATTTGTATGGGTGGGCGCATACTATTCTTCAAATTGAAATTTCTTGAAACGAACACTAAATTTTCCAAAATCAAACGTATCACTGCCAATAGTTAATCTTAGTAATCGATAAATACCAAGATAATTTCATGAAATAGGGTTAAAATGTTGAAATAACGCCATTATTCGTGCCTAGAAAACAAACCGCGAAGTCACAAGTTCGTTCACCTTTGACGAATGGTCGTTCGGTAGGTGATCGGAAATCTTCGTATTCATGTATCTTCTTAATGTGGAACTATTTTTTAAAACCGTGAACTTGACCCGTTCGAATCATCAAATAACCTGATCTTCACACCATACAAAGAATGATGTCTAAACTCTCCAAAAATATAAAGATTGATGAGGTTCCTACTCGTTTTATACGTTTTTTATGCATTCACTTTCATCATAAACTCGATGAAAATACGGAAAAAGTAAGCTTGTATTTGACAGGAAATATTTCATAAGGTAATGGAGTCCAGTTTATTTCTAATTCAGATTAATGAAAGAGCAGTTTCTTGTCTTCAATTTGACATATCGTTCATGGTAAATGATTAGCAAGAAACCATTTTGTGTAGGTGGAAACAAGTCGGGTGTTTTCAAGCTCGTGTGCTCATTACGTATTCATATTGACCGCTGGGCTTGCATACGACTACGATAAATACGGGCGGTTTTCGTGCAGCGGCGTACTGACTCTTTCGCAATTTCGGGCAGCTGTAATTGTTTAGATGTGCAATCACTGCATCGATTTGTAGGCTCGACCCATCATCCTGTATTATTAATAATTTCTAACTTTGATAACATTACATGTGTTTAATGAATATATATGTGTATTATGAAAGAACAAAACGCGGTGGTTCGGTGGTAAAACGC